TGAGTGCAGAGAGAGTATGAGCGTGCAGCGTTTAAAGCGTGGAAGTACTGACCTTACTTTGAGTTTGATTCCATAAAAAGTGACAAAAACATTAGTGTCCGCTGTGCGTGGGAAGAAAACTTCTTTTTACAGCGAAAAAACCCCTAAACTTCCAACAAGCACCGAGTAGCTACGACGTAATGGGAAACTCACAGAGAAACTCGCGGATTCTTCCACTGACCGCGGCACACCTGCACCAGGGTAACCCTCCGCCTACTCCACCAGTTCCTACAGTAACTAATCAGTAATTAGTTACTGATTACTTTTTTCAAGTAACTTGACCAACACTGTTGAGCAGCGTTGTGTCTTTAACTGTAACACATTCCAGTCGCCTTGTGATGTTGAGCTGATCAGAGCAGGTTTTAGTTTTAGTGTCTAACATTACGACATTCAAACATAAATACTAATCTGGTCAATTTAATATCAGATTTAAGATATAACATTAATTCTAAAATGTAAGAATGTATCAATTATAGAAATCTTGCAACATTTCTCTTTCAGATTCCCACACAGTACCTTGTAACTGCTGCTTCAGCTGGTCGATCTCAGTCTTCTGACTCTCCACCTTTGCTGCTAGTTCTGATAAAATATAATAAAAAGAAAAATCTCACTGACAGCACACAGTGATTCACACGTTTTTATCTGTAAGTAAGAAAGTAACTGTGACTCTCATTCTGTTCATGCTACACCGAGCGGTGGTCTCCCCCACGTCCCCTCATCCTCCACCTCACACAGGACCACGCCTCCTACAGGTGCTGGGTGGAGAATGGTTGAAGAAGCAGACTTGTTTGACTGGATCTCTGAACAAACTGATTCTCATTTGAACTCTGTGCAGTTAAACTCTGTCATCTTTATCCACACTAGGGGAGATTCTAGGTTCTACCTTGCAAGGGATCAATAACAATTTAAAATTTATAATTTACAGTTTGATGATTTAAAGACTCACACACAACCTGTCAAAAGGGGAGGGGCCGGCTGCTTCCATAGAGCACATTTCATTCATAACGTTGTAAATCCAAGACCATCATGTATTCATGATTTGTGCGAAATCCCAGAAATAAACCTTAGACAAAGCGAATCTGTGAACTAAGGTGTAGGTCTGTTAGGTTATGTTGTGGTGATCCTCGGGTTGGGGGATGGGTGTTCATACTGGAGTGCAAAATGAAAACCAGTGGAAGATGGACAAGAAAAGTTCAAAGCCGTCAGGTGCTCAGTTTAGAAAAAAGAGAAAAGAGGAGGAGAAACAAGCAAAAGACACAGGGAAGCAGATGTGTGATTGGATAATGGCAGGCAGTGACGGGAATAACGGCGTTACTTTTTTCAGTAACGAGTAATCTAATTACTATTCCTATCGTTACAACGCTGTTACCATTACTAAGAAGAAAATGCGCTCCGTTACTATTTTTCAACAAACAGACGGTTGAAGCTGTGTTCAGCTTACAGCATCTTATATCAGTTGCACGGAAGTAGCTGTAAGTAATCTGGACGCTACGGCTTTAAGCAGCTGCGCTCCCGCGGACGGTGATCACGATCACTGTCTGGCACAACAGCTGGAGCTCAGGGGGCGAAACAATCACATGAGTGCTGCTGTTTGACTGAGGAAGAATAAAGTAGTCGTGGTAAGACAATCACATGACCACTTAAAGACAAAGCAACAAGGTGACATATACCAGTTTATAAACTGTGTTGATCGGCCACGTAAAACCAGTCATGATAAACAATATATACGGCGTTTTTTCCTCAATAGTTTCATGTTTACTGTCTAAGGACAGCGCAGCGAGCACGCTCTGCTTATGAGCAAAAATAAAAAAACAAAACATAAAACAGCCCGTTTGTGTTGGTGGAAAAATGCACCATGTCGACCAATCAAAAAATGATTTGGCAACATGACATTTGGTTGTTTAGGAAGAGAGAGAGCAAGTTTTGAGATGTGAGAGATTTGTGACGTTTAGCGTGTTTGGAGTGTGTAGTTAATGTGTTGTCTTGTGTAGTTAGTGTGTAGTGTTGTGGATAGTTTTGTGTTGTGTGTCAGAACAATGAGGCGACTGCTGTCTCCAGGTAGAAACAGGAGTGACACACCTGCTGCTGTCAGACCTGCAGGTATCAGGCTGTGATGTTTCCTTTATAGTGGACAGAAATATTTGGAGTGGCACAAATAATTTGTGGCATCTTATTGAAGAACAGCTGATTGTTCTGTAAATAGTTTGAAATGGTTATTTAAAAAAATCAAGGTAAAAGGTAAATGGATGCAAATAACTTTGTTGTTTGCAAAACTTGTGCATAGGATTTTAAAATTGACAATTTATATTTGCATTTAAAGTTATGAAATATGATCATTAAACATGTTTGTGGTTGTTACAGTAAAAAATATAACTTTTTCTACTCTGATTTTATGTTTTTTGTCTGATTTTAGATCAGTTGTGTTAATACAGTCAAAATGAAAACAACTGTAAATTCAGACACGTGAGGCTGTGCTGAAAAGAACGAGACCAAACAAGGCAAATAAACAGTTTCTAAAGGTGAAATGTGGAGGAAACATCAGACGTAGTTAAAAATGGCCGATTATACCCTGGACCCCAGAGGGTTAAACGTTTTTTTTAAAGTAACACGATAGTTACTTTTCAAGTAATTAATTACTTTTAGAATCTTGTAACTCAGTTACTTTTTTTGAAGAAATAACTTGTGACTATAATTATTACTTTTTCAAAGTAACTTGCCCAACACTGATGGCAGGTCATGTATTATGAAACACTCAGAATCAGAATACTTTATTAATCCCTCAGGAAATGATTTGGGTTACATATTCTCCAAGAAGAAATTCTAAAATAGTAACAGTAACAGACTCAACTCCAGACAATACATAATGTTAGCATAAAAGTAGCACTAATATATACAGATCACTCGATTATAAATATCAAGGATTAACAGACGCGATTATAAATAAATACCAAGAAAACTGACAAGGATATCACAGCGTAGAAAGAAGCTTGTGTAAAACGGGAGTAACTATTGCAAAGACCCCACACACACCCGACATGTTCACTCTTCTGCCCTCGGAGGCTCAGAACTATGAAATCCAGAACATCCCGACTCAACAACTCCTCCTTCACTGCTATCCGACTCTTTAACAGCTGAAATATTTTGAACAGTAATAGTAATTTTTGCACATCAGGTCATCTCACATATCAAACCAGCATATTAAGCTCGTAGCTCTTTTGCACATAAATCTATTTAACGTGTGAATTTTTTTTTGGTCTCCACTTATTTATTCCTGCTATTTGTATTTTATCTGTTTGTACATATTAACCGGCATCTGTGTGGACAGCAGAGAAAGAATTTCATTGCACAAAGAAATGATTTGCTTTGTACACATGACAATAAACACTTTCAATCCTTAAATCTTGAATCTTTGAATCAGTTAGTGAGCTTCCTCCTCCAGGGGGCGCTACATCACAAACACGGACTTTAAATGATGATTAGAACGTTTGCATCAACACAGAAACTGGTGTTTAAGTAAATGTTGAAGTATTTGGTTTGAAGAGTTTGCCATGAAGACGAGACGTGAGCTGTTTCATTATAAACACATTCCAGTCAGTTCCTGATGCTGAGATGAAAAGAGATGTTTTTGGTTCTGCTGTAAAATCTTAAGATGTTTTAAAGTTTTATACTTTTACAATCAAACATGTAAAAAACACATTTTAATATCACACATCATTCGGAGGATATATTTACAGCTCCATGATGGTTTCACTACAATCTCTTTGGACTGCAGCTTCAGCTGATCAGTCTCAGTTTTCTGTCTCCACCTCTTTAAGCTTCTTTACCGGCTCTTTAAAGCATTTTGTTTCATTGCATCATTAATCTCTGAAGACTGCTCCAATATTCCTGTGATAAAAAAATTGAGTCTCATAAGAAAACACATAACCATGAATGTTGGTCATTCCTGTTTCTGATGTTCTGGATATTTCTGAAGTCACATTGATGTATGAAACTGTACCTTGATTCTCTCTCTGTAGCACAGTGATCCGCTCATTCTGCACAGCCAATGAGGCGGTCAGCTCTCTCAGCGCAGCGTGGATGTCCTGTGTACAGGACTGTTGGCCTGCAGTCTCAGTCTGATCTGCTGACACAGAGCAGACCAGAAGCAAAAGTGGGAGAAACATGATGATCTTCATTCTGTCAACAGAAACCTGCTGTATAACTGTCATCTGTTAATCTGAGAGTTTTATAACGAGGGGAAAAGAGGCGTGAATGAGGAGCTTACTGCCCCACATGTCCCCTCATCCTCCACCTCACACACTGCAGAGCCACAGGACCAGAATCAGACTTTGACTGCAGGACTGAACATGTAAACAGCAGGGATGTAGAGATGTTCTCCTTTGAACTCTCTGCAGTTAATTGTGTGCACAGAGTTCATGCATATATACATGCGGAGCTGGGACTTATCAGCTAACACCAGTGTTAGCGTCCATGACCCACTCTGATGTTTAACAGCATTCTGAGTTTCCTGGTGCAAAAACCAGGCTTAAAAATATTTACTGGAAGGCTGAAAGGTTGATGCCATAGATCTTTTAGAAGAACTCACTGACTCAAGGCCTTTTCACACAGGAAGCAGATATTTATTTTAAAACAGTCATAAAAAGATGAAACTATTTTTGAATGCTGGTTTGATCGTGTCAGCTTCACAAACAGAGCAAACGTTTGTTTGTCGAGCTTGTTGAAAGAACCAAAGTACAATTCAACAATACGAAGAACTGCAACACACTGACCTCAGCACCTCTGTGGTTACAGGAAATCAGCTGCATGTCAAACTGACACGAATCACTCAATAAAAAAATCAGAAAAACTGAAATCTTTTTTTTTATGTTGGCTTGAACATTTTAGCTGTGAATTCATAAAGAGAGCAAACATTTGTTTGTCAAGCTCATTAATGTGATAAAAGTAGAGTTTGAAAACACATCAAGAATAAAAGCCAGAGCACGAGCTAACCTCCTCCCCTCACCCCCCACCAGTTACTGCAGATAGCTGCTCCTCACCAGTGTTGGGTAAGTTACTTTAAAAAAGTAATTAATTACTAATTACTTAATCAATATTGTATTTAAAATACTTATCTAATTACTGTGTCTGAAAAGTAACTTAATTACTAAATAAGTAATTTAACTAAATACTTCTTAAAATCCCAATAAAACATTGAGTGGACAAACAATAGAAATTAAACTCTTTAAATAATAAATCTTTTTTTAAAGACGGAGACTCCACAGCAGCGGTAGCATCTCTTCCACAGTGTCGCCTGCAGTTATTTTTAAGCTCACCTTTTTAAGCACTTTCTGTGCTGCTGAAGTAAAATCAGGTTTTGCTGCTTAGCAGGAGTTGCCGCGGTGTTATCCATGGATGATGAACAAGGATCACTCAGAAGTGTTCGTCTATGCTCTCGTGTCAGGCGCTTCAGTAGATTACTCCTGCTATTAACAGCAGCCGATAGTTTTTACATATTACTGTAATGTTCTTGTCTGCTTGTTTCAGAAAAGTGAAGAGACGGGAATATGTCCATTTCATAAAACAGCCACTCGCTTCAGCCGAGTCCGACAGCTTCTGCTTTAGAATACGACTGTGCTGTCAGTCACGCAGTAGAAGTTGGGAACAGAGCAGCTGTGAAACCTTTGTTATTATGCTCAGCGTCTGTTAGTTTACAGTTTGACTGCACAGTTGTGAGCTCTTTGTTATGCACAAAAACAACATTGTTTTCTTTTATCAGAATCAGAATACTTTATTAATCCCGAAGGAAATTAGGGTTACAGCAGGCAGCACGCTAATGGCACATGCTCACTTACAAAGGAACCTTCTGACCAACTTTACACAAACATCACATTGGGGAGACATGTAAGAAAGGTAGGCTGATGGGAAAAAAAACAACGAAAATACATAACATGATGTAAGAGGAGGAGAAAAAAAACTCCACTCAGACTGAGCTCCTAGTGGGAGAACAGTTTGATAACAGAAAAAACACCTCAGCACAAAAGCACATGACTATCAATACACCATAGAAACACAAGACAAGCAACAGGGCGGGTAAAGGGTGAGAGAGAGCCGGTGTAGACAGCGCATCCGGTGCTGCAGCATGTCTGCGCTGGTCCAGTCGACCGCCATCTTCCCCGGTAGGGCACAAGCATCGAAGCATCGTTTGGAAAGGGAGGGGGGGATGAGTGTGTGTATATCAGTGTGTGTGTGTGTGCGTGTCCAGAGTTCAGCTGAGACAGTGTCCTTCACCCTGCCAGGCTAAGTAAACAGTCTTCCAGCCAACCCAGGTGGCCTTGCATGGAATGGGGGGAGCAG